GGGGGCCCAAGAAAACCCGGGGTCCCGGGAAATTTTTTTTCCCCCGGGGGGTTTGGCCCAAAATTTTGGGGGGTTGGTTTTTGGGGGGGCCCAACCCTTAAAAATTTCCCCCCCCCCCCCCCCCGGGTCAAGGGTCAAAGGATTTTGGCATGCAGGATTAGGAGTACCCCCCCCCCCCCCCCGCTTAGGCTGTCTCCCCAACATGGCCATTTTTTCTGGGTTGGAAAGGACTGCAGGACCTGTGTATCAGATGTGGCAAGTATTTTTTCATACACGTGCCTTCAAACATTTCAGGTCGTCTTCGGACCCTATTCCTTTTTTTGTGAACATTTTTGTAGATCAACTCGTTCCCCGCGCCCCGGGTAACCTCACCGGGATCGACCTGTGTTATTTTGTGGTGGTTGCTGGTATAAAGGGGGCAGAATATACAGGCGGGTTCATGTGGGTATTGATTCCTGATGTGTAAAGTAAGCGATAAAGTCCCACGCGGGTGGTGCCGTGGCATGTGGTTGGTGGTTTGTGTTCCTGTGTTGCGCCGTGCTCTGTGCTCCCCGTTTTGTATGAAAGTGTTTCCGGGAAATAAATTGTGTGCTGCTGGCTTCAGCGCGAGGCCCTGTGGCTGCTGGTTGACTCGAGCAGCCGGAGAGTGATGAGTGGGGCCAACTGTGTGCCTTGCTGTGCTGAGACAATGTTGTCTTGTTGATTTTGACCCTTACAGAATAGGTGAACTCTTCTTTCGGCGGCTCCTTTTTTCATGATTGAGCGGCGATAGTCCCACGAGGACTCAAATTTTGATGGTGTGTAGACTACACTGTTTTAGCTTTTTTTTCACAGAATAACTGAGCTCTTTTTTCGGCCGCCCCCTCTTTTTGCCAGTGATGTACATTACCCTTTCCCGGTAATTAAAAGGCAAAGGGTAAGCGGGGTCGGTAAAGTCAAAATGTTGCGGTAAACCTCGCCCCCCCCCCCCATCCCACTTGCGGGTCCCCCTCAGTCCTTGTCTTGCCAAAAGGGCAGCAGCCGCTGCAGCTCTCCACACAGTGTCCCTCCCGAGCTGTAGCAGGCCACCTACACTATGACACATGCACACTGAAAGACCACCATGACTTCTTGGAGCGCGCTTTCGTGGACACCCGTGGTGGAGGAAGCTGCTGATGGTCTCGTTGACGGATTTTCTGGCTCGTAGATAGATACGTTTTTCTCTTTTTCTATCCAGTACTTCTTCGGGGAGGAGATGAGGAGGCCATGTGCGGGAACGTGATAACTTTGAGGAATCTTCATCTTGAATTTTGATTTTTCCTTTTCTTCTATTGATAGATTGAAAGTGCTGTCAAGATGTGTGGAGCTGTAGACGAGGGGTGAGCCGCACCAGCAGCCCTCCCTGCATCCTGCTCATCACCCGCTCACGCACCAACTAACATACATGTCTAACACAGAGCGCCCTGTTGCCATACATATTTGAAAGGCAAAAAGCTGTACTTGTAGCATCACGTCAACACCGAGAACTTTTCAGTATACTGCTGTTTACTGAGGCCCCATTGTTCTCTATATCGAATACACGAAGAAGGCGCCAGAACGCCAACAATGTGGGGTCACAGCGTCAAAGCATCAAAGTTAACAGTGTTTTTGGGTGGTGTACCACCAGCGCTCCGAGCAGCACACAGCACCATGAACAAAACAACCTGGAAACCCCGGGGACAGTCGATTTTCATCCCCGCTTTTGGCGGAAATAACCGGTCGGAAAAGCCGATTGCTGGTTTCGGTGTGTTACCGGTCGGTAAAGGGGTCTGACCCGGGTAACGTACATCACTGCTTTTTGTTACGATTGAGCGGCGACAGTCCTGGGAGGAGACAACCTTCTTCTTTGATTGACAAGCCTCGGGGCAGGGGCACGTGTTGTGTACTGTGTAGCGCGAGGAGAGCGAGAGATGTAATAGATACGGAGTGCGAG